TAAGGAGGTCAGTTGACCCCATATAATTTTAATTATCCATAATGTTTTGACAAAATTTATAGTATTGACCTCTTACAAATTTGTTATTGGCTTCTATATAATTTAAAATCCACGTTATTCAATCTGCAAAAAAAAGTATTTTATTTCAAACATCAAATATTTAATTTTAGTTATTGTGTAGGTAAAATTACTTACATGAATTTGTTGAAAAAAATTGTTGACCATACTAATAAGTTATAATTAAAATTCATAATTAGATATTTCTCTTCTATGTATTAATTTTGGATAGATTTTCATAGCTTTATATTTGTATTATACTAAAACAACTATTTATTAATTTAAACGTTAATATAATTACAAGTAGGTAAGATAACTTAAACTTAAGTCAAGTTTTTTTTTGTTAACATTTCCATTCATCAGATAAAGTATAGAACAAGATTACCCAGCTAATTGTATCAAACTATTACATAGTTTTAAGTATTCCTCAAACTGTTTTGTTAGTTAATCAACATAGTTTACAAAACTTGGGATTTTGTGATATGTTAAACTTGTCCTTCAAATTATTTAGGACATCTCCAATGGTTGGCTTTATTTTTAATTTCAAAAGGTCATTTTATTCTAAATGAAGTAAAATATGAAACAACATCTTATCTAATGGTTTACTTCATTTCTTTCTTGTAAAAAAAAAAAATTCTAAGTATATTATATTTCTACATTATTATTTATTATTAATAATACTTTATATTTTTGCATATTTCCAAACTGTACTCTACTATTTTGTTTTAACAATATCCAACACAGTTACTATTTAATATAAAATCAAACATTATCATGTAATATATTTATTATATAACATGTTTTAGAATAATGAATCTCTTTGTGGGTCACATGAGAATTTGATTCATTCAAACCATTGAAACAGAGGGTTATTAAAATCCCAAGAAAAGAACAGAAACATAGAGTTATTAAAATCCCAAAATAAACATAGAAACATAGAGTTATTAAAACCCCAAAAGAAACATAGTTCTATAAGAAGCAAGAGAGTCTAAGCAACAGAAGAGTGGTAAAGGGTAAGCCACTTGTTGAACAAGTGTTCACCAACTGATATCTGATCACTTTTCAATGTCAAATCCACCCCATCCGGAAGCTTATGGACTAGGACCGTAGTGACCAGGGACTTGTTCTTGCATGGCACTATCGCAAACCCTTCGATAAGGAGATCAAAGGGATGGTGATGATCAAATCTCGAGAAGAACATCATCCTAGAAAGTGGAGAAAGATGTTGGAGGATCAGATGCTTGAGCTTCACCGAGTAACCACAATGCCGTCTCAGAAGACCTCCAGGATATCGTTCACAAAATTTTGATATTAATTGGATAGTATTAACGTATATAATTTACTTGTATATAATTTACTTTATCAAAAAATAAGAATAAGTAAAAGTTAAGAACTAATTTATAATTGAGAAAATCCAGCTTCAAAGAATGAAACAATGAACATTATAACTTTAAATTTGAAGCAATATTGTTCATTGTTTCATTTTGAAACAAGAAGTGAAACATCATCTGGAGCAAAATCTGCTTCAAATTAAAGTAAAAAGGTGAAAAATGAAGCACCATTAGAAATGGTATTTAGATGTCATGCACTATAGATGACGTATCATTCATGTATAAATTTTGTGCATTTTTCTGTAGATATGTGATGCAAACTTTTAATTAACTTTGATCCCTATTAAAAAGTTACTAGCTCCGCCAATGTCCCCTCCCAGCTTGGTCTTCATGGACCCACAGAGATTCTCGTTGTGCCACTTTGAGGAACTCAGCCAGTGCTTTTTCCATTGTTTTCTTTACCCCTTCCATACTGTATCGAGAGAGAATCCTTTTTTTTTTGTTATTTTCTTGATGCTAGATCTAGTGACATGTGTGTGTGGCAATGAAGGGATTTTATAGAAACCTTTAGTTAGGGCACACACACACAAACTTTGTGTTTTATGTCGTGGAATGAGAAGTTATTAGTTTGTGGCTACTTTTTGTTAATCCCGGTGACGCTTTACTTCTTTAATAGATACATGATCACGTTTTCTTTGGGTTTGGGATAAAGATTTTTCTTTTACCTTCATGTGTTAAATTAATTATGCCACAAAAGACTCATTCTTCCGCGAGAAGACTGACCTGGTAGAGAGAATAAAGCTGTTATGGTAGAGACGGAGAGTAAGTAGGTAGGTAACAAAGAGTTACCAACAATAACCAAACCAAACTGTTGCAATGTTTCTATTTTGAGCTTTTATTTTCGCTGCATGCGTTTCCATCTCAATATGTAGTGCATTCATTATCCATCACTTAATTGTTTTTAGTTACATGACAATGCATTTTTTTGTCAAAATTTATAAACATTGGAAGTTACGCACACAGTATATGCAAATAAACCTAGAGGTTACACAGCGGGTTGTCCCTCACGTCATTTTCAGGGAAATAGACATGCTAGCCAGGAACATTATCTTAGAAGGAAAGAGCGCAAGAAGTGATATTCTATCATTGTTCTCAAAAATCTTTTTTTAGCTCTAATTATGTTTTCATTAGGCATGGGCAGTCGGGGTTCCATTCGGGTTTATCAAAATCAGTCCCATACAGATTATTTGAAGTTCGGTTCGGGTTCTATCGGGTTCGGGTCGGGGTTAGTAAATCTTTAAAGAACTGGTACAACCCGTTATACTTTCGGATTCGGGTCTCAATCGGTTCTTTGGTTTAAAAATACTTGATTTGTACCTACTTTGTAATCAAAACATAAGTTAAATCGGTTCTTCGGATTTAAAGTACCTAATGTTTAACTATTTTGTAACCAAAACATAAGTAAAATTGATTCAAAAATAAGAAAGGAACATCAGAATTGATCATTCAAAATCAAATGAAAGGTAAACATAATTATTAATAGAAAGAAAACCAAATAAATGAAAACATAAAACGAAAACCAAGTTCTTAAAAAATGAGAAACTTTATTCAATAATAACAAAACCTTAATCTAAAAATTTCAAGTTTCAACCGCCACCTTAAACCATCAACCTTCATGTACTAGATAATTATTTTAGATGTTTGGTAATATCTTAAAATATTTTGGATATATATTAGGAATTAAGATCTTGTTTGGTACACGTTCTTATTAAAAAAATTGAAGGTTTCGGATTCTATCGGATATCCATTTAGTTTCGGGTTCAGTTCGGATAATACCCATAACCCGAAATACCATAAAACAAGATCCACTCGGTATTTAAATCGGATTCGGATCAGTTCGGATTTATTTTTATCGGATCGAGTTCGGTTCGAGTTTTCGGGTTTTATTTGCCCATCCCTAGTTTGCATCAGGATCAGGCTTTTTAAATGAAGCGCGCAAGAAATAAGAACTGTCAACCATGTGAAAAGCAGATTCATTAATAAATTTTTTAATCGGAAAACATAATGCTGCATTTGGATAGAAAAACAGGGCAAACAAGGAAAGTTGGTGGAGGATGTTCTTTTTTTTTTTTTTGGTGGAGGATGTTCGAGAGAATCCATGTGGCTATACTTATTGGGAGTTTAGTTGTTTGTGATTACAAAGAGTTATATATACGTACGCGTACAAGTTCAACGATGATATTTTCATTTTCCTTTACATAGAACACATCTCACGTCAAGTATTGCAGTCATTGCACGTTTTAAATTTCTCTAGCTAAAATCTAAGATAATATTCCGCTCCCACAGACAAAGTACTAAAATGTATTTTACTTTCAACGGAAAGGATCAAACCATATAAAAACTTTGAACCTATATTATCATTAGAAACACATCTAAACTCTTGAACCAGACGTTAGCTACTACTAAGAGATTAATACCCCACATTATTTTCAAAGAAAATCTCTGTGCTTTAAGATATCGGGCTTTACTTTCTTTTGTTAGTGAATCAAAATTATCATAATATATTCTAAACTGATTATTATATTAAGAAAACATCACATATGGTACTGATGGTAGGATGTGAACTTTTGATAATAAAAAAAAAAAGCCCTTAAACTTGTGAAACGAATTGCATTTCGATCATTGACACTGCAATCTTCACAATCGTAGAAAGCAACACATTCGTGACTATGTGAAACTAATCCAACAAACGTATAGAGTGTATATTATTCGTATGCAAACGTACACACAAAATTCACCTAAAAGGATCTGTAAATTAAAAGAAACACCTTGCCATTTGAAATGTACTGGATCTTACTCTTAGCTCTTCTCTTTGTAAGGAGTCCATATCATTTTGCTAACGTCTACATTAAGACCACCTCAGATCACGTGTTGTCCTTTCATGTATTGTATCAGACCCAGGCTTTGAAGTGTGCTTAATATATCTCCTTCTTTAATCGCTGTCATAGTGTCATTTGATCACTCAGCTCCTACATTTTGAGAGTTCGGAGGCTGTATAACACAACAAAAGGGGTAAGTTGTTATCAACTTAGTAAAAAAGAAAAGAAAGAGAAGAGTGAGCTTGTGGCGAGATGTGAGAGAAGAGCTAAAAGGTTACTGAGAATCTAAAATCCGAGTCCAGTAACCTCTCTCATACTCTTTCATGTTACTGAGAATCTAAAGACTGATATCATGTACTTTGTAGGAAATGATTGTTGCCGAAGAAGAGTTAAAAGGTTTCATAGGCCATGGGACTAAAAGAAAACATATTTGATACGAGAAAGAGAATTTTTGAATCGGTTGCAGGCAAGGTGCACCGAGGAGAAGGAAGGGACCAACGCAGGGGATCAAAGAACAAATCAGCTTAAAGGAATACAAAGAACCCTAATCAGCTTTTTATTTTTATTTTGCTTTGAATGACTGTGTTCACTTTGTTATGTATCATTACACCCATTTATAGTCAGCTTAATCATAATTAATTATAATTCTCAAATGTTCCTTGGGATTCCCCAATTTATAAAAAAATATGAAGGCTGTTAATTTGACAACTTCTTACTTCTATATAGAGAGAATTTCATTGATTGCATATACATAATATTACAAGTAAAAGAAGTACTATTATACAACCTAATTGATGATACATCAATGCATAAAAATTAGAGGCATTTGGAAGTCAAGGAAAAGAGGCTTAAAAGGCCAGCCTAGCTCCTCGTAGGAACAAAGTCTTCTTCCATCACATTCGAGTATTTGTTTATCTTTGCAACGTCTTCCACATCTATCGCAGATGGGACGGCTGAGACCATAGTTCGGAACTATAGTAACCCTATTCTTATTGTAATTTCCGATTAGAAATATATCGAGAGAATAATTGATATAAGGTACATCCTTCCCTAATAAACACTCGATATGGAGTGTGACTCCACATTCATTACATGTATAAAGCCATTTTGATGAAGCTATTACTTCTTCACAAACCTCACACCAATAGGGACTTTCAATTTCTTCATAAGAAAGGGTGAGAAAATGCTCATCATGCTCGTACCTAACTTTAAATGGGAATGTGGCACAGCGGAAGCAAGAAACAAAGTCACATTCGCTGCAGTTTAAAGGTGGAGTTACTTCTTTTCCACACATAGAGCATGTTTTATAAACTTGAATTTCATTTGTTAGGAACAAGGGATGTATGTGACATTGATGGTTGAATGGCTCGGATATTGCAGCACAGCGGACATCTATAATCATATGTCTACCCAATCTGCAACACTCGTATCTGAAACCACGTAAATAACGCCTACAATATTTACAAATGAAATAAGTTTCGGTATCACTTACTTTCAGAATGAGTTGAAAAGGATGTGCCATATGATCTTTCTTTCGAGGAAGATTTGCACATGCTTCATGGAGTAGAAAACCACACATGGAGTCCATACATTTGTAAATATCGCCATCATAAACAGGAAGTATGCATGCATGACATTTCGTTTTTTCATCATACAATATGTTGCTTGTCTCTTTTACATATTTTAGTCTATGTGAATGGCTGAAATGCTGTATAACTCCAGCACCTATCACTTCATACGAGTTGAGATTTTCATATACTTCTTCTGGTTCTTCTTCAAGATCCTTAAGATCCCACACACCCATCCGAGTACCACATTTAGGATGCACTACATAGTTGCAACCTTTGATGCAAATGTATTGTCCATAGTTTTCATTAATCTTTTGACGACAAACTCCACAAGACAATTTCTTGTTAGATGAAGAATATGTAAGAGAGAGACGGTGCTCGTGACGGGATATTCTTATGACAAACGGTAAGTAAATGCAATTTTTATGGACAATAAAACCACACTGAAGGCACACGTAGATCAAATACTTGCTATCAATTACCCCACAGACGTCACATGCTAAGCTGGTTTCTCTAGGAAAGTAGTTGAGGAGATGCTCATGCACTTTTTTATAGTTTATGACTGTTGGTTTTGTGGCACAAACTAAATCAATACTAAAATTACAAATAGAACAATGATAGAACAATTTTGAAAGAACTGCTTCACAAGAACCACAAGTTGATTCTGTAGACAAACCAACAAACCTGACAAGTTGGAGATGGTGTTTGGGATGAAAAACGGATTCCATTATAGGCGGAGACTCGACACATTCTTTGTGGTAACTTTCGTCACATTCATTGCAAAAGTAATAGTCTGTACCGCTTGTTAGACATCGGCAAGCACCGCAGGAGAACCGGAACTTTTCTTTTGATTCTTTGTTGTTGCACCAAAATAAAGGGTAAAGATGGTGAGAATAGGAAGAGTCGTCGTCTTCACCGCTCAAAATGTAGTAGTTGTCGAGTACAAGAAAAAAAACCCCATCAACTCCCTTCCAAGAAAGTTCTTGATTGTGTTTGGTTCTTTCGGCAGGACATATGAGACGGGAAAGTGGAGGATGGCCGAGGGAACTCATGGCTACTAAAGTCAAAAGGATGTTTGAAGGTTACAGATATTGATAATTAAAGTTTGGTTATTTTAACTTGAAACCTAGGCTGATGTCTTTATATATCCATCCATTGGATACCATTTCTTTTCTCTTTACCTAACTACGTACGTACACCCAACGTCAAGTATTGCAATCTATACATATTTTAAACTTGTCAAGCAAGGTACTGATTCAATGCTTACTAAAATGGCAAGGTACTGATTCGATGCTTACCTCAAATATCGACAAGGTAGAGCTTCGATAGATTTCATCCCTCGGAGGATGCTTCAGATCAAAATTTCCTTTGCATGCTGACGCAAAATTGGTAAGAAACAGAAATACACGTATGAAAACTCAAAGTATTCAAAATTAACAGAAAGATGCAATATTACAGAACTACAACCCCAACAACAGCGAACACAAATCATTAACCGCTCACCAATGTGTCTTTAAAACCCCTTACATCTATATGTGTCTCCTCAATCTTCCGTTTCTGGTGTCGTGACATCTTCAAGCTAGTCGTCTCACCTATAGGCTATAACCAATACAGAGTTCTGCGAAATACAGTAAACAAAGGTCAATCGCTAAAACCCTAGATCTCAAGATACTGAACAGAAAAGCAACGTCGACGTACACTCTGTGTAGTAATAATACTCGCTTAGGATTTTTTTTTCTCAACGGGTGACGAACTCATTAGAGTTTAATAATATAGGCCGGACTTCTTATAATTATTTAGCTTTATTAGGATATGATTATACATTAATCGACATTTAAAATTGTCGAACTTAGGTTTAACTCTAGTTATGTCTTCAACAGGGTCAGGTTTTCAAAATTACGGTGCGATGCCATGTATAAATAATTTTATTTTTTAAAAAAAGTAAGAGCAAATGTGGGCTAAACAGTTTTTAAGATAAGAGCTAAACAAGTGACAGATAAGAGTTTTTTGTCGTGAAAGGGATACAACCAAACAAGGCTTTCTGATTCGTATTAATCACATGATTCACAGATCAACACTCTCGCAAAGTTCCAAGATGCAAAAACCAACACACAACTCATCATCATGTCTTTGAATTTATGATCGATAGATTCGCCCACCATGTTGATAAAAAAAAAAAAGAAATTCGCATTGGCACTTTACATTCCCTGTATAGTAAACTTTAATTAAAATTGCATTTAGTACAAAACTACTTTGTTTTCTATATATTTATTATAGTCAGGCTTATAGTACTTTCAGATGAAGAAAGATTAAAAGTATATATAACCCATTCCTACTCAGTTTATCACATGTTAACACGTTATATTATTTATAGTAACCTGACTAAAACAGAATTAACACATTAACTCTAGTATATCTTTTCGTGATTACCAACTAAAAACAATATACTATCGTTTATTTATTTAAAATACGTATTTAAAGAAACTGCTCAGGATATAAGACAAGAATCATATTTATTTACATATCTCTCCATAAACGTTTGTTCAAAATCCTCTCCTCGAAATGGCTAAGTCCACTTCTCCCATCTTCCTCCTCGTTATCCTATCATCAACCCTACTCTCAGTCAAATCCAACACAACCACAATCGAAACAACTTGCAAAACTACAAACAACTATCACCTCTGCGTCTCAGCTCTCAAATCCGACCCAAGAAGCCCCACTGCCGACACAAAAGGCCTAGCCGCCATTATGGTCGACGTTGGTATGAAAAGCGCCACCGCAACCGCCACTTACATAGCCGGAAACCATACAGCCGCCGCCACAGACGACGCCGTTCTCAAGAAGGTCTTAAAAGATTGCTCAGACAAGTATGCTCTCGCAGCTGATTCACTTCGGCTAACGGCTCAAGATCTTGATGATGAAGCTTATGACTATGCTTACATGCATGTGTTGGCGGCGCAGGATTATCCTAACGTTTGTCGGAATATTTTCCGGCGAGCTAAAGGTTTGGTTTATCCGAGGGAGATTCGCCGGCGTGAAGTGAGTTTGAAACGTATTTGTGGTGTTGTCTCCGGGATTCTTGATCGGCTTGCTGAATGATTATTGTTGTATTAATTTCCTTTTAGAAAAAAACTTTGCTAAAATGGCAAAATCTATGTTTGTAATTGAGCTTATGGTAATTATAAACCTCTACTAAATTTGGAATTTGTAAGTTTTAATATATTTACTTTATCGTTCTTCTCATTTGCTTTAAACAGAACAATGTTTAAGAGATCATCATCTGAATATTAACATTATTAAAAACCTTAAGTCGTGCCAAAGATTTGGGAGAAAAGGCTTAATGACTTGGGAAAGCAGAATATTTGATATGATGGAATATTAACTGGACCGGTTCTATATATGTAACTTTTGCTTTATCAATATGCATTATACGTGTTATCGAATATGTTGAAAACTTTTTTCAAAAATTGCGATAAGGTTTTAAAAGTATATTACATAAAGAAGGAAAGCTAACGTAGTCTATGCATAACAAAAAAAATAAAAGATGAACAATGATCGATCGACCACATAAGTCATAACTACTACTATCACTACTTTTTCAGACGATGTCGATTGATCTGCGAATTAAAAGCAAAAGACGTGTTACTTTTTTTTGGATATTTATTAATAAAATTTTTTTTTTACGTGGAAACAGTTTTATATACACTAGTCAAGTGTGAATGTCTTGGTAGGTCAACGACCATATAATTTAATTGACTTAATAATTCAACCGGTCAGGGTTAACCGGGTTTTTAGTCGGTGGGACAAAATAGTAATTTTGCCACGTAAAATATATTTTTTTCGCGCCCAAAAGACGCGCCAGAGTGACAGTCCAATTTAGTACCACCATAAACCCTAATTTTTCTCGAGAAAACAAATCGGCGACGAATCTGGGTATCATTCTCCGTTACCATCGAGATGAAAGGAGGAACGATTCAGATCAGCTGGCACGACGGGAAGCCTGTGCTAACCCTCGATTTTCATCCGGTTTCCGGTTTACTCGCCACCGCCGGAGCCGATTACGATATCAAGGTAACGCAATTTTTCAGAAATTAATTCGATTTAATGCAATTGGGGATGTGGGTTTCGCTTGAATGTTCGAAAGTCGTAAGCTTTTTTGAGCGTGTGATGTTCGAATTAGGTTTAATGGATTTTAGAGGATAAGGAATGTAATTGGTGATTCATTGTTGACTAAATTGAGCTTTTTGAGCGTGTGATCTTTGGGTTTAATGGATAATAGAGGATCAGGAATGTAATTGGTGACTAATATATATATATATTTTTTAATTCAGCTATGGTTATTAAACTCTGGTCAAGCGGAGAAGAAGGTTCCTAGTGTATCTTACCAGAGCAGCCTTACTTACCATGGATGTGCTGTTAATACCATTCGTTTCTCTCACTCTGGTGAGTACTTTTGTTTCTTTAGTAATGGTAGTAATTAATCAAGCTTTGTGTTATCAGAGATGCTATTGAGCCGTGATCATGTTTTTGTGTGTATGCTTATCTCTAGTGTATGATGATTTGCAGGGGAACTGCTTGCCTCTGGAGCAGACGGTACGACTCTAAACACTTTCGAGTGTGTTTTTGCATATTTTGAATGCTTAGTGTAACCAATTGTGCAGTATTGTTTTCGTTATAATGCAGGAGGCGAGCTTATCTTATGGAAGTGGCATCCTAGTGAAACCAATCCCTGGAAAGTTCATAAGTCGTTATCGTGAGTCTTTTCATCTGAATAATAAGCTACGCTGTTATGATTATTAATCAGTTAAGTTTTAGACTAGTGAGAACCAGTTTCAGTATTGTTGCTGCTATCAATAGGTTAAAGTGTTTCTGTAGGCTAGTCACATAGTGGAAAGCTTATGAAACTTTCATGGACTCATTCGAATGTTGTTGTCTAGACACACTATACTGGAAAGCATACATTTAGTTTATTATCTCTGGAGTAGAAATGTAGGCAAGGAGAATTATGTTTGACTTTTGTTTTACCTTGCTAGATTCCATCGAAAGGATGTCCTGGATCTTCAGTGGTCTCCTGATGATGCTTTTCTGATTTCTGGCTCAGTGGACAACTCTTGCATTATATGGGACGTTAACAAAGGTGAGAACAATAAAAAGAGGAGACAAAACCATTTTTCATGTTGCTTCCAGATTCTCTGTTTCTTATATTTCCCTTTTTCTGCTACAAGGTTCTGTACATCAGATACTGGATGCCCACTGTCATTATGTTCAAGGTGTTGCATGGGACCCCTTGTCAAAGTACGTTGCCTCTCTTAGCTCGGACAGAACATGCCGGATATATGTCAATAAGCCTCAAGCAAAGAGTAAAAGCGGTGAAAAAACGAACTATGTTTGTCAGCATGTTATCACAAAAGCAGATCAGCAACGAGGAGATGACACTAAGGTAAGAGAGAAAGAAGATATTCTTCATGATTCGTTGCCAAGATACAGTATGCTTGATTTCACAATGACCGTGATATGCAGACAGTGAAAACGCATCTCTTTCATGATGAGACATTACCTTCTTTCTTCCGAAGATTGTCATGGTCACCTGATGGATCGTTTTTACTCATTCCATCAGGTAATTATCCCTAAAAAACCAGTCCTTCTTAGTCATCAATCATCATACATTTTATCCGGAGATTAATTGTGTTTTCATCATCACTGTATTTCATTTGCAGGCTCTTTCAAGCTTTCACCTACATCTGAAGCTGTAAATGCTACATATGTCTTTTCTAGGAAGGACCTTTCAAGGTAAGATAACCACATCTGAAGCTGTAAATGCTTGAGCTTATGTATGGTGAAATTAGAAAAAGCAGTACAACGTCTCACACGCGCTCATCTCGATTTTTTTTTCTCCTCCTTGCGCGCAGACCTGCACTGCAGCTTCCAGGTGCTAATAAACCGGTTGTAGTGGTTCGGTTTTGTCCAGTTACATTCAAACTCCGGGGTTCAAGTTCTGGTACATATTATGTTTCTTATGATTCTTGTTTCAGTTTCTAATGTAGAAAATAAAGGCAATTGAAATGTAAATCTTTTCCTTAATATTCTCATTTTGGTGATCATGCAGAAGAAGGTTTCTTCAAGCTTCCTTACCGTATTGTCTTTGCCATTGCAACTTTAAATTCGGTGTACATATATGACACGGAGTGTGTGGCTCCTATTGCAGTCTTGGCAGGTCTCCACTACGCTGCAATAACTGATATAACATGGTAAATAATTAGATCTGAATAGTCCTCAAAAGCTTCATGGTTCTCTAATGTGAGCAATGATCATATATTTTGTTCTAAATAGGTCACCAACTGCCTCGTACCTAGCAGTGTCCTCACAAGATGGTTATTGCACACTTGTTGAATTTGAGGATAACGAACTAGGAGAGCCTGTTTCCATCTCAACAGGTTTGCCCTTAGGAGTGTTTAACTCTCTTCTACGTCCCAGAACTGGACTGACTCATTATTAATTGCAGTTGAAAAGAAACCTGTGGATGGAGAAGAGAAAAATCATGTTTTAGAGAAAACCGATGAGATAATGACCGAAACAACACCAGACAAGAGAAGTAAACATGACGAAGATAAAGAAAAGCCAATGCCTAGCAAAGTTACAAGTGAAGAGAGGCAGAAAACAGATGAAGTAATGATGGAAACAAAACCAGAGGAAGAGAAACAGCCACTGCAGAGCAAAGTTAACACACCTGTCTCAAATAAACCAGCGAGGAAACGCATCACACCGATGGCTATTGACCCCTAACTGCTGCTGTACGAACACTGCCCTTTGTTTCCATATGTTTTTTACTGTTACTATTATCTTTCTTATAGGCCATCATCATGAATACATCTAGGAGTCTTACTTCTCTTAAAACACGCCTTAGATCACAGTTTCATAAGTCCATTGGTTCGCGTTAAGCTAACCATGTTGAGATGAGAGGTTTTGGGATTTGAAACGAAAAAAAAAGTGTAGTGTTGAAAACGCAAATGGGCCTGCTGGGCCCAAACTTTATATTGCTGCCACAATAATTCTTAAACTCTAGAAATAGATTAACTGACTTTAAGTTCTTTACAGTCCGGTCCGTTTAATTTTGATTAAGCTAAAATTATAACTGACGAAAATAACCGGTAAAAAAAACATATTTTACCCTAATTTTAATTGCTAAACCCTTTTCTCACTAATAACCGTAAAAAAAAAGAAAAGTTAAAACAGGAAAAAACAAAACCCAGAAACTCCCGACATCTTTAATTGTCATTGGTCTCCATCCTAAATCTCATCCTTTCTCTCACTCAGATTTCAATTATTTGATAAATATCTGTATCTTTTAGATACACAACAGTTATAAAAAAAATATTTTTTTTTATCTATCTCTCCCTTCAATGGATTCTCCGAAACTCCCGCGCTCCATCTCCACCTCCTCCTCCACTCCGTTCGCTTCCTCCGCCGTAAAACCCCACCGTAAAAACCTCCCTCCTCGTAACTTAATCCTCATCATCATCGCCGTCTCCGCCATCCTTCTCCTCCTTTTAACCCTCATCATCTACTCCACCGTCTCCAAATCCTCCCACAAGGTACCAAACCAACCACCTTCCTCCGCCGTGCCCAAGATTCCTTCCCCTCCTTCCTCTCCTCCCATTGCTCAGATCCGTCTCGCCTGCAAGGCCACCAGTTTCCCAGACCACTGCTTCTCCTCCCTCTCTAAACCCGGTTTAGTCCCTCCTGATCCTAAACCGGTCCAGATTATCCACTCCGCTATCTCCCTCTCCTCGGATACCCTCAAGTCCGGGCAGTCCCAGATCAAATCCATCCTAGACAACTCCGCGGGGAATAAAAATCGCACAAACATCGCCACCATCTGCTTAGAGATCCTCTCTTACTCCCAGCACCGCACCGAATCAACCTCCACCGTTGTTGCTGCTGGTAGCAGCAACAACAACGGAGGGATCAAAGAGGGCCGAGCTTGGATGAGCGCGGCCCTCGCGTACCAGTACGACTGCTGGGCAGGTCTAAAAACCGTCAACGACACGAAACAAGTCGTCGACACCATCACGTTCCTCGGCGATCTCGTGAAACTCACGGGAACAGCGTTGAGCATGATGGTGTCGTTCGATAGTTTCGGAGACGACGTGGCTTCGTGGATCCCTCCGGCTACGGAACGTGACGGGTTCTGGGAGAAGATTAAACCGGGTTCCGGTACGGTTGAGGATGCTAGTTTGGGGTTTCCGTCGGGTTTAAAGGAAGATGTGACGGTATGTGGGAAAGGGTGTGGTTATAAGACGGTGCAGGAAGCTGTTGATGCCGCGCCGGCAACTAACGGAACCGTTAAGTTTGTGATACGGATTAAGGAAGGTGTGTATGAGGAGACGGTTAGGGTTCCGTTTGAGAAAAAGAACGTGGTGTTTATCGGAGATGGTATGGGTAAAACGGTAATCACGGGTTCGGCTAATGTAGGGCAACCAGGGATGACAACGTTTAACTCTGCAACTGTCGGTGAGTTTTATATTAGACGTTAGTCTTGTAAGATTTGGACATGTTAGATCATTACAGCACTGTTCTAAAAATCGGTTTAGGCATCCGTGTAACTGTTAGATCGAACCAATGTTATAAGAATCTCTAGATGGTTGTTAAGCGTTTTATAGAGGATTATTGGTTAGGCGCGCGACTAGACCGAGTTTTTTTTAACACTTAGAATGATTTTTTTGAAAAATATTTTTGTTCGTAACAGATTTGCCGTCTTGGAGGGGCGTCTAGGCTCCACTTAGACCGACATGTTTTCTAGAAACATTATTTTAAATATTGATTTAGGCGTTCAAATATCGGTATAAATATTCTCTTAATCAATTAAAACGCATAACTAACGGTTGCCTAGCCGTTTCTTGAACATTAACTGATTACAACTTACAAGTGTTTGGTTGTTTGGGTAGGAGTTCTTGGTGATGGATTCATGGCACGTGATTTAACCATAGAGAACACGGCGGGAGCAGACGCGCACCAAGCGGTTGCGTTTAGGTCAGACAGCGATTACTCAATACTCGAAAACTGCGAGTTTCTTGGCAACCAAGACACAGTTTACTCACACTCTCTCCGTCAATTCTACAAACAATGCCGTATCCAAGGCAACGTGGACTTCATATTCGGTAACTCAGCAGCTGTATTCCAAGACTGCAACATCTTAATCGCTTCAAAAAACTCAAAACTAGACCAAGGAGGTGGCGCAAACAACGCAATCACAGCACACGGGAGGATCGACGCGGCGCAGTCCACGGGGTTTGTGTTCTTGAACTGTTCGATTAACGGAACAGAGGAGTACATGAAGGAGTTTCAAGCTAACCCCAAGGGGCATACTAACTATTTAGGAAGGCCATGGAAGGAGTTTTCGAGGACAGTGTTTGTAAACTGTAACCTTGAGTCTTTGATTAGTCCCGAGGGATGGAGTCCTTGGGATGGGGACTTTGCGTTGAAGACTTTGTATTATGGGGAGTATAAGAATACGGGTCCGGGGTCGGTTAGGTCGAAGAGGGTTCCATGGAGTAGTGAGATACCTGAGAAGCATGTTGATGTTTACTCGGTGGCTAGTTTTATTCAGGCTGATGAGTGGGCTTCTTCGAAGTCTGCTTGAATGTTGTAAAGGAGAGTGGGGTGTGTGTTTTAGGAATTTTTTGAACGGAAGAGGAGAGATATCGTTTATTGTAACTTTATTAAAAAATGTTAAAAGCATATATTAACATCTTATCATATTTTTCTAAGTGGTATCACTAAAAAATTTATCATTTTTGTGAGGGAGTGTTTTTGAACAGAAGAGGAGAGATGTCATTGTGAAGTGTTAAAAATATCAAAGGATATGTAACATTATCATATTTTTTCTGAGTTGTTGAAGACTATTAAATATGGGTTTGAAGGAGAGACGACAACATGGGGGTGAAGAAAAAGAGATATGGTTACTCGATAATAGGCCATTGGTGCAGCAGCATCACCAACTTGTATGCGAGTGAGGGGCATTCTTGTGTATCCACCAGCTCTATCTCTGTTTTAACACATAAGACAGAGCTCATGAAACAGAGTACTTCGGAGATTTTTTTTTATTTAGAAAAAAAAAAAGCAAAAAGAAAAGCGAAGATTAACTTGTATTGATAAGCCAACTCTGTGAAAATCTTGTGAATTACATCATCTCCTCTAACAAACCTAGCAGCGTGCTGCATCGAGTGAGCCCTGTAATTAAATCATCTCATCAGCCAAAAAGAGATCTAATATTGTGTATACTAAATAATGAGAAACATTTTTAAGACAAAACAATGCACCTTTACATAGGTAAGAAATCCAAGATTCTCAGTAGCAGACTATATAAACCGCAAATCATACACAAGGAATTAGTACAAGTGTGACAGTGGTCTTAATACGCTCGTCTTTTACCAATTTAGAAACCAGCGTCCTGATATGATTTGGATAGTAAACAAAAAGAGAGAACCACACTCTTGATCAATTGAGAGACATTTTATATTAAGAAACGTTCTAAGAAATGAGAGGATAGTTATTGAGTGTTTCTACTAGGAAAAGAAATCTGAGCATGGACATACAGTGACCGTTAGCCGGTCGAGCTTCCTGAGCTTCGTCATTTCTGCGACGGCAAAGCGATTGGAAAATGCTATCGGGAAGAAGACGAAACCCAGCTCGTATGTTGTTGAGTGTTGCCCCTTTAGAGGGCCGAGCTTTTCTAATTTTTAAATTTTAGCCCAGTGTAATAATAACGCGGCTTCATGATGACCCATTTCCTAAACCGGTTGGGAAAATTTGGCCCGTCAGTCTTAAAATTGGTAAATTTTATAGGAATAGTTTGTACTTTGTACAATTAGGGTTGGGCAGAACCGAATCCAAACTGAAAAAAAAACGATTCATATCTGGTACGAAATGTATAAATAACTGAATGGATTTGTAAGGTGTTATATACCATATCTTAATCAGAAGTGTTATTAACTAAACTTGAATAGGTAATCTAAAAAATATTTCAAAGAAATCGATCTGAATATACAAATTATATACAATATAAATATTTAAAACATAAATATGTACTCTAGCTATTCAATTTTATATTTTTGATTTGATATCTAACAATAAATATTTAAATTTAAAATAATAAAATTTTCAATTCTATATAAATAAGTATCTATTTTTTATATTTTGAAAATTTTAGATTTTATTTTGGTATATTCGAATCGATCTGAAATAATCCTAATCCGAACATATATAGTTTACAATTCATCGTCGTTAGGTTTTATGGATCGACGATGGGAGCCAGGGATTCACTTTCGCAGATGGAAGCGGGGACCTGGGGATCTTGATTGGATACTATTGCTAGGATCTCAAAGAGAGATTTCGGGGAAAAGGGAATCTCAAAGAGAGATTTCGGGGAAAAGGGTTTCTCAGGCTCTTGGGAAACCAAATCGGGATTGGGAGATGACGAGATCCGCGGGGATTGGGAATTTCACTCCGACTTATGGTGAGATACGTTCTCTGATAGGGAAGATACAGGTTTTGGAAGGTACAAAGGGGAGGCTCGTTTGTAACAATGGTTTGCAAGTGTCACTTCTTTGTGTCATACATGTGAGACACTGGTGGTTAGGACAAGGTTTTGACAATTGTTCAAGGGTCCAATCCTCGTTCCAAAATTGGTCATCACAGGTTGCTGGAATTTATGGAACCATGATTTGGAGTGCTTGGTTTTTTAGGCTCGGTATTAAGGAATTTGGTGGTTTGGTACTTCTTCAATGGGGACATGATATGTTGTTGTTTATTTCTGTGAGATATAGGCATCGGTCTGTCTCTTTTGTTTCTGGTTGTTCTCTGGGAATAAATACTTGTCTTCTGCAGGTGCTATCTCATCTTGTATGGGATCAGTTGATGGATCCTCTACAATCGTGTAGTAACCAGAGGCTAGGTAGTAATGGCATTAGGGATCTCTTCTGGTTGTTAGGACTACGTCCTCTCTGTAAAATAGTGATTTCTTCACTTTGTAATGATAATGGTTTGAGCCGGTATTTATTTAGTTTATATAAAGGGTTGATAATATTATGGTTATGTAAGTGTTTGATGCAGGGCCTTTGGAGGTTTTTATCTATGGCCTACCAGCAAGTGAAGATTTTGGGAGGCTTTCCCCATAAGGGAAGTTTCAATGGAAGCTTTGGGATCACGGATACTGGTTTTCTGGTTCGAATCTGGTCATTCTCAAAGAATTTGGAATGTGACATGTTGGTATGGAATGGAACAAGATGGGTTTGTCTATTGTGTATGAGGAATAAAAATGCATCTTTCTCCTATTGGATATTTCGAAATTTGATTTTGTCTTTGCAAAGGTTGATAATGTATAATGATCTTGTTCGTGGTAAGTTTCGGAAGAGTAGAAGGATTTGTTATAATACTTTTGGATTTTTAAAATCCTACTTTGATAATTTCGTTTCTTTTGCACCATTTTTAAGCAATTGCTGTTGTTGTTATGTTTTGTGGCTGGTTCAAGTCTTTAGGGTAATGCCCTTTGAGAGCTTATTTAACTCAATTAATAAAATGGTTTCTCATTTCCTTTATGATTCTTGGTTTGTATGGGAATTTATGGTTTATGGTTCTACTGGTTCATGGTCTTTGGAGGTGCATGCTCTGGATTTTTGTTATCATTTTTGCTCTGTTTCAGTCTACTTGATTCTATATGCTTTCTATGCTTGGAGTTGTTGGTTGTGCTATGGTATATGTGGGTTTATTCATTCCAGACTAGGTCTGGAATTTGGTTATACAAGCTTCATCAAAACTCATTACTTGGAAGGTTTGGTTGTCGGTTTTGTTTGCTTGATGTCTTCAAAAGAATCAAAGCTTGTGGCTGTCAGTATTCTTATTAGAATACTCGACAAAGGTTTTTACCGTACGGTGACATTACTTTTCCTTCGGCTTGACTTTAATAAACTTTGGGATAATATGCCTACATTTCTAAAGGAGCTTTGGAAAAGGTTTAGTAAAATTATGGAGCACTATCGAATTGGAAAAATAGTTTGCTTATGGGTGATAAATGAGTGTACGGTGTGTCGTGTACAGATAGTCAAATTGGTCTTTATAGATACCAATTGTTTTATAATGAAAAGTCTATATCTAAAGATAACCTCGTTATGGATAATGAATGGTTTATGGATTACACTCTCTGATTATTATGAGCATTCGAAGCTACTATTCGGGTTTGAACAAATGCGTGGGTCTCTTTATAATATGTGTTGGTTTTTATATAAATTAATAGGTCGGTGTTCTTTTGAATGCTTTAATATGGGGTTCGTTAAAAAATTTAGAAAAACTATTTATTATGAGTATTTTAAGTTGGAATTGCAGAGGTGCTGGTAATTCGGATACGGTTCAACGAATTCGGGATTTTCGTCGTCAGTATTTCCCGGATTTTCTATTTCTTATGGAGACGAAACAGAAATTTGCTTATATGGATGCTTTAAAATCTAGTCTGGGCTATGATCATTTACACACGGTAGAACCCGCTGGACGGAGTGGTGGATTAGCTCTAATGTGGAAGGGGTCGTACATAGTGGAAATTCTGTATAGTGATAATAGGATTATTGATCTTAAAATCACAATGGGTTCACTGGTTTTTTTCTTATCATGTGTATATGGGGATCCAGTTAGAGGAAGAAGACGATTAGTCTGGGATAAACTAATAGATATTGGGGTGAGTAGAGATGAAGCATGGGTCTTGGTGGGTGATTTTAACGAACTAATGAATAATAACGAAAAATTAGGGGGGGCCATTCGAGATGAAACCACCTTTTTTGACTTCCGGAATATGGCTGAAGCATGTAAAATTAGAGAAATGCGATCTACCGGAAATTCCCTGTCATGGGCTGGTACGCGGGACCACCATTGGGTACAATGCCGTCTTGACAGGACATTTGGTAACGCGGAATGGTTTCGTCTTTTTCCTCAATCATCCACTGAATATATGAGTATGTGGCCCTCTGATCACCGCCCCTTACGTGTAGAGTTTGCATTTGAGCCGGAGATAGTACAGAGGGGACGGTTTTATTTTGACAAACGTTTATTTGGAAAAAGAGGGGTTAATGAGGCCATTATCCGAGGATGGGATGCTGAGAACATAGACTCAAATTTATCGGTTCTTGATCGCATTGCTCGGTGTAGGACGGAATTGTCTAAGCTTAAAAAGGCTAATGATTGGAATTCAAAAAATAGAATCGATCGGTTGCAGTGTGATTTAGATAAAGAAAGTTCAAAACAATTTCCTGTTCATGGGTTGATGAGAAGATTAAGACAAGAATTGGCAGCGGCTTATAGGGAAGAAGAGATTTTTTGGAGACAAAAAAGTAGAGAAGAATGGTTAAGGGAAGGGGATAGAAATACCACATATTTCCATAATGTGGTGAAGGGGAAACGAATTAGAAATAAAATTTTGATGCTCAAAGATATCTTT